TTTCTGTAGGCCTGAAGATGGCTGGAGGAGGCAATAAATTCTGTCTTAGAATCCCTCCTGGTAGATGTTTAAAGAGATTGTATGAGTAAATCAACCAGCCCAAACCTCCAATGTGATATGGACCATCCGGTTTGAATTTGAACCTTTCATTTTTCTTCTAGAGAACTGATGTGAGCCAACAGCTTAGATGAGTCAGCCCGCTAGGTGAAATGCAGTGCTGGTGGGATTATTGAAGCCTATTGTAATTGTTATTTTTTTCATGAAGTCTTCCCTAAAAATAGGTTTTTGAATGGAAATAACCAAAGCTGGAATAGTTCAATATGAGATTAGTATTTCTCACTACAGACACGGTTAGGTTGTATCACTTTAACAGTGGGGTTTATTAAACATGAATAAACACTGCTGTTGTTTTCATTTTTATTCTTCTATTATTGTTATTTTACTAAAGCACCTTACATGAGTTTGGAGGAAATTCTACACTTGAGGAATTTATGTTTTCCATATGAGTTACTGTATGCACTGGTGTTTCTCTTGTGGTTTTGCCAAAAAACAGTGAGCAAGCCTTAGACTCTGGGCAGCCCTGTTGGTAGGGCAATTTCATTCTTCATGAACTTGTATGGAAGGAAGTGTTGTAATTATATAAAATATATAAAAGTGTACCCCATCTCAGGAATAGCTGTTGTGGGTTCAAAAGACTGGATGCACATTTCATACTAACAGTTTCAGTCAACGGTTTTACCAAGATTCACTTTGACTCATTTATAGGAACCTAAGGAGTGAGAGTTGGTCTAAATAAGAGTAGATGCTGGAAGTATAAAAGTACAGAAAAAATTGTCACTTTTAGGCAACTCATAGAATTTATGACTCCACTAAAGTGTGAGTTGTCTAGTTGTTTATAGTAATTAAATACAGAAATATTGAACTTGAACAAATTTCAACAGTAAGATTGAAACCTATCCTACTCTACAGGAAACGCAGAGCTGGGTCAGGCATTAGGATCAGTAATACAGCAGATCAAAGATGTAATAAAAATTCAAGTTCTCTCTCTCTCTCTCTCTCTCCTGTGTATGTGTGTGTGTGTGTGTGTGTGTGTGTGTTTGTGTATTTCATATCTATGATCTTCACCTTTATAGTGGCAGCAAATTCAGATCAACAAATGCTCAGGAGGAAAAGAAATTTTATTCGTTCCCTTTTTTTCCATGTATGAAGAAAGCTTCATGTACAGTAGCTTTTCAAAAGACTTTTTATGCCTTGGTAAGGATTGGGCCACATGCTTACTCCTAAATCAGTTACAGGAAGGAGAGATGATAGGGGGTTTAGACCAAAGGTTCTCATTCTTGCCCCCATTTGGAAAATAGAACAAAATACTGATAATACTTTGTGATACTGGGGTGCAGCCTGGACCATTCAGAATTTTAAAATTGCCTCAGGTCATTTTAATGTGCAGCCATGCATTTGAGACTCATAAATTTAAACAAAGCGTCAGGGGTTGAGGAGTGGAGGAGGACTAAGAAATGGATTATAAATCTCCTTAACCACTGAAAATTGTTATATGTTCATCATAAATTTAAAAAGATATATGTGTATATGTAAACATACACATGGGGTTGGAGTTGGGTTTGGAGGAGTCGATACCAATAGGGAGGCCTGATGAATGTGCTCCAGGTTAGGAGAACAAATTGGGGGCAACCGAAGTCAAACTTTTTATGAGAATGATTAAGACAATGCCCATGCAGAGTTATGTTTGACTTCAGCAAAGCCTAATAAACTAAAATGTGATGATAATAAATGATCACCATGAGTCTTTGAAGGGAAAAATGTATGAGAACATTCAGAATTTTGGAGGCCGTCTTCAAAAAGTTTCTATTAAATTCCATTAGATATTTCTCTTTCAAATTCCTTCTCAAAATCAGAGATTTCTAAAGAGTTCTTGAATTAATTATAGTAACATTTCATTGCTGAGATTGTATAGATTTAAAAAACTGTCTAAGTCAAAATACTCTATTGCAAACCATGGTGCCCAAATAATTTAATTTATAACATTATATAACTTCAGGCATAATACATTACAACTCAACACACAAACTTATGATCTTCAGAAATCTATTTTCTATCTACTAACATACATTTGCTCGAGCGGGCCCAGTAATGTCTCCATTGGAGACTTTGTTGTTACTGTGTCTGGCATATCGAATACTCTCGGTAGCTTGCCGGGCTCTCCGAGAGGGGCGGAGGAATCGAACTTGGGTCGGCCATGTTGGCCGCTTGTAAGGCGAACGCCCTACCCGCTGTGCTAATTACCCAACTTATGCAGTCCTCATCACTCTTTCTTTCTAGTAAGACTGATTTTGTTCTCATAATCTCATAGAAGTTTGTTTTTGCTTTGCTTCTTTGATTTGATGGCTGTTTTTCCTCTTTTATCTTCCAGAGGTGAGTGAATGCATATAATATCTGATTTCGTTCATCTGACTTAATTCATTAGCAAAAGTCCTGTAGGTCAATCCATATTGTTACAAATGTCAAGATTTTACCTGTTAAAAATAACTGAATAGTATTCCATTAAATTTTCCAATAATTTTTCCCTGTGAAGGGAATTCATTTTCTAATTACACATTCACAATGATATTTTTGCTAGTATTTCAATATGTGATGGATCATTCTTGTCCCAAATCCCTGAGAACTGATTTAATAAAAATCAGTTTAATTAAATTTAAAACCTCAGAAAAAACTCATTTAACAGATTCTAATATAAAACACTAACCATCTAATCTTAAAGACTCAAATCTCTTCACTACACTACCCTTCAGCAGAATATTAAAACAAGATCACATTGTACATATGACTTATTTCTTATCTTCTAGTCAATGACTGGCTCTGTCTTTTTTTTTTCTTGTCTGGGTTTGGGGGCCCACACCTGACAGTGCTCAGAGTTTACTCCTGAGGAACTCAGGAGCTACTCCTGGTGGGACTCAGGGGATCTTATGGGGTTCCAGGAATCAAACCCAGTTCAGCAGCGAGTAAGGCAAGAGCCCTACCCGACTGTACTATCACTTAGGCCCTGGAGTATTTTAAATATAGAAATATTGCATATCAGTTACTGTTATTCTACTGAGATCATTAGAGAGTTTAAAAAAGAAAAAGGGCTTATAGCAAGTATCCAAATAAACCTTAGTATATTCTGCTATCCTATGAGTCCTCTCTTTTTTGGGCCATACCCAATGGTGCTCAGAGGTTACTTCTAGCTCTGTCCTCAGGGATCACTCCTGGTAGGCTCGGGACCATATGGGGTGCTGGGGATTGAACCCGGATGAGCCTCATGCAAGGCAAATGCTCTACCTGTTGTACTATCTCTCCAGGCCTCTAAGTTGTCTTAAATTTTCCTCTGACTTTATAAAATGCAAATTACTTTTATTGATAAATGTTATCTTGATTTGTAAAAATGCATGGTTAGAGGATTTCTGTTGTACCTTGGTCATCACAGTGCTAACTTACCTGACCCCTATTGCTGAAAGGATGGTATGTATCTTTTACAACTGCTTGTGGTTTCAACTGCCACCTATTAGCAAAGTGTTCCAATAATTGACAAAAAGGAAAAAAGAAAAGATAAAAAGGAAAAGAGAAGAGTGAGGATAAGTAAGATAGATTTTCCATTTCTTATCTTGTGATATATTCTGTAGCAGTAAGCACTGCTATCTCTTAAATAGTCCCCTTGGAGGCAGAAAAAGAAAACACTCCAGAAAAAAGCTAGAGGGTTTTTTTTTGTTGTTGTTCTACATAGCTTTGTCCTTTTGCAAAGTTTGCATGACCTCTCTTTTGTGTTAACTTAAACAAGGGAGGAAGGACTGATGATTCGATTTGGTGAGTTAGTTACAGTAGTAGCTCTGGCATCTGTTACTCCCACTCTGTCATCCATTACTTCAGTCCTGTTAATGGCTGCAGACATTTGATTAACTACTGAGATGTGGACATGAAGGGGATCCAAGGTGGGCTGTGAAGTAAATTACAGAGCTAAATATCTGTTTCATCTTTACTTCACTTGCTTCTCTGTTTCCAGGCCTTTTATTTTGGCAGACTGGCAGGTGAAGGTCTTCACCTCAGGTGCAGGAAAAGCTTTAACTATTTAAGGACATTGATTTAAGATATATATTATAGCACCTGTTAAGATGATCGTGGAACTGGAAGTTGACATTAAGAGTTAAAAGCAAATTTCCTTTCCCCCCACAACAAGTGCATACAAATGGAGGACGTCAAGAAAATGAAATATCTTTAAATAATTATGTTCTTTTTTTTCGTGGGGTCTTGCAAGCAGTGGACCAATCCTCCTGGCCCTTGTTTCTACTGTCTTTGGGTATTAGCCTCATGTTTATTTTTTTATTTCCCACAAATAAGTCCAATAATTCTATGTCTGTCTCTCTCCTTCTGATTCATTTCACTCAGCATGATACTCTCCATGTTTAATCCATTTATAAGCAGATTTCATAACTTCATTTTGCCTAGCAGCTGCATAGTATTCCATCGTATACTTGTATAGCTGTATCATAGTTTCTTTAATCCGACAGTTACATATAAAAGAGCAAAAGGGCAAGGGGTGGTGGCAAAAATAATAAAGCACTTGATGCAATAGAAAATAAAATGCCTGAACAAAATGAATGGGGTTTGCAGTTAAATGTCAAAAAACTATTGGGAGGTTTTGAATATGAAACAGAATTATAAAAGTTTAGAATACTTTTATTCCATTGGTTGTGTCATTAGGAAAATAATTTGATAGGGTTATAGGAATAGTGTAGAATATCCCTTTTCCATGAAGTCAAAGCATGGACAGAAACTCCAACAAGACTATGTCCCAAGTAATAACAGGATAAGAATTAAGAAGAGTGTTCTAAGGCTATCTCTGTTCTTAATTATTGTTAAAATATCAATTATAAAAACAAATCTATATTAATATTCAAATTATAAATGGAACAAGGGAAAACCATGAAATTTATTTGTAAATTGTTTATTATTTCCAAATCCTAGCACCATATTTGTCATGTAATGGCACAATATTTGTTATGGCACAATATTTCCAATGCATTTAAACATTTAAAGAAATCACATTGATAATATAAGGAATATTTTGTTAGAGCATTATAACTATTTCAGAACTCTGCTGATACCTACTAAAATTTAAGTAGAACATGCCTTAAAATTAATGTAATTATGAGAGTAAACACAATACTGGAAATAATAAAGTCCAGATGTTTTATAATGTCCCATACATTCACAGTGTTCTGGAAATTATGGTTCCTCATCCTAGGATTATGTAATTCAGCCATGCAGATTCCTTCAAGATAAAACAAGCATGAAATAAACAAAGGGGAAGCATTATAGGTATAATAACTTTCCTTATTATTCTTATACTTTTTCATGAGCCTGTTTTTTAAAAAAGGCTTATTTATTATAACAGGTTTATTTTTTTAATCTCATTTCTTGACTCTTTCAGTCACATCGAAATTACTGCAATTATAATCTTAGAGTATATTAATTTTAACAAATAACAAATGTAAAGATGCAAAGGAAAAATGCAGATAGAAAACCAAATACATATAATAAAACCAGATTTAGAAAGGCCATTTTAAGCATAACTATATATTCCATCCTATAATCTCATAAATCAAAGCTTTTAACTGTCTGGATTCGTATGTGACTGTATTCTTTCCAATATGCAATCTTTCTTCTTCCAGAGGTTGTTCAATAATGGCAGGTATATTTCTGCCAAAAAATTCACAATGTTCAAGAAACTGAATACATTCTTGAATAACACTATCACGAAGCACTATCATGTGTTTTGACATGTTCTCTAGTAAGGACAGGAAGCATCTCTTGGCATAATACCAGGTATCAGTTCCCAGTTTTTTGTTATAAGGTTCTAAGCTCTTGATAACCCGAGAAATACCAAAGTCATAATTCCCTTTGGCACAATAGAGTGTCCCTATCACCAGGTTCACAATGCAGAGATGGTAGATTTTTTTGTCGGGATCATCGTAGGAGAGCTGCTCTTCCTCCTTCTCAATCTTTCTCATCAGCTCCTCGGCTTCTTCATTTTGACTTGTCATGATATAAGAAACACAGAGGTTAGCCAACACAATAGCGCTGACATTCAGAATGTTGTCATAGTGCTTCTTGACTATGGGCTCATAAAAACCAATCGCTTCTTTGTATTTGTTCTCCTGCATGAACAGAACATGAGCCACATTCAGTTTCCACACATCGTGGTCGTTACAGAATTCCACGGATTTGCGGAAGATCTTCTCCACCATGGAGTAATTTTCCAGGTTCCAGTAGATTTTGGCTTGGGCCATCAACACGGGGATATACTTCTCAAGTGTGTCATCATATTCATTTACTGCTTTCTTGACAGCTTCATCATCTCTGTTGTGTCTTGCTTCCTGTACTTGTTTAGTAAGTCTCCGGAGCGTTTCAGTCAGCATCCCTGCCAGCGCATCAAGCTTAATGAAGGCCTCTTCAGGAGCTGTCTGGCAAGTGATCATGGCATCCAAGAAGTCGTAGAGGTATGGTGTGAGGAACTTATAGGTCAAATGGGCATTTTCTGCCAGGACATCTGCGGCTAGGTCAAAATACTCATACTTGCAGTAGAGTAGCAGCAGGTTGCCGAAGGTCTCTGGGGGGAAGGGGTTCTGCTGGAGCAGGAACTGTAGTTTTTCGAAGCCTTCTGTGGGCCTGGCATCCATGTTCATGAGTGCTTGATTGTGCAGGGTCACAGGATCCAGCTCTTCCTCTGCCCGAGGTGGCATGTCAGTGAGGGTCTCCTGGGCCACTTCAAAGTTCCTCAGCTGATATTCGATGGCTGCCTTGAGGTTGAAGGCTTCCACCAGAGCTGTCTGGTGGAGGACCAAGGTGTTGCCCACACTGCGAACGTCAATGCCCTCTGTGGTCATGCCCACACCCAGCTCTGGGTGCTGGCAGATGCCATGTTCAATGATATCTGCGATGTGCTTCAAAGCTGACGCATACTGCCTATTGTTATAATAGGCCAAAGCCAGGTTGTAGGAGAGGTCAGGCTGATAGCCTGACGTCTGCAGGGCTGCAGCGAACTTGGAACTGGCGGCCTCATACTGGCCCTCCTTGTAGAGCAGACAGCCCAGGTTGACCTGGCCGTCGGCATCATTCTCCCCAGCACTCTCCTCTCCCCCGTCGCCACTCAGCAGCTGCTCCACCAGGCTCCTGGCCCCGGGCAGGTCACCCTCGCTGTACTTGATGGCCGCCTGGAGCCGCAGCACCTGGGCGTGGTAGGCGGGGTTGTCCAGGAGCAGGAAGGCGACCCGCGTGGCCTCGGGGTACAGGCAGGCCTTGTAGAGCGCCTGGGCCTGGTACAGGCGGTACTGCTCCAGCTCCGGGTGCAGGTGGCTCAGCTGCTCGTAGCACTCCGCGGCCAGCGCGAACTCCTGCAGGCGGTAGTAGCAGTAGCCCAGCAGCGAGAGGCCGGCGCGGCTGCGGGGGCTGCGCTGGAGCTCCCCGCTCAGCAGCTGCACCGCCTCGGCGTGCCGGGAGTCGCGGACGAGCCGGTACACGACCGCCGTGAACTCGCCATCGGGGACCTGCGCGGCGCCAGGCCCCGCCATGGCCGCCGGCGGGAGGCGCGTCCCGGTTGCCATGGCAACGAGCTCCCGCGCTCTCTCTCCCCCACCCCCAACTCAGCCACCTAAAAAAAATGAGGACGTGTTGGCCTGGAAAGAAACGCTTCCTTTGAAGCGTTAAGGAATAAAATACATCTCCAGTATGAATAATAAAGGAATCCGTGAGTTATTTCATTACGAATTCAATTCTCAAAGAAAACCTGGTAGCTGGGGTAGGAGGTCTGGAGAGAGGCCAAACGCTTCTGGTAATTAAGAGACACTTTATTTCCCGGCATGCACCTGTCCAACAGCGACGCCGGCAGGACTGTGGCCGCGTTGCATGCTGGGAGGCGTAGTTTCTGCCCGACCACCTCGCTGTCCTCTGAGATGAGTTTTCAGAGGTCTTATTTCTTTGAGGGCTGCTAGCTGCTAGTGGTGTTGCTTTGGTTCCTGGGAGGAAGTCAAGGTCTACATCGCGTTTCAAATCTTATTTGATGTGGAAAGCAAGCCAGTGGAGTTTTGCTTTCTAGTCTTTTTTTTTTCCCCTTTAATTAAATTGAAAAGTAGAATGTCTCCTTGGAACTCCCTTAGAATTAATTAGCTAATTAACCAAATGAAGTTTGGTGTAACATTGAGGGAAGCTTTTTATTTTGGGGGTTTTGGGCCAGACTCAGAGATAGTCATGGTCGATTACTCCTTGCTCTCTGGTCATGGATCATCCCTGGAATTCCCTGGGGAACAAATGCAGTGTTGGGAATTGAGCGTAGGTCAGCTGCATACAAGGCAAACACCCTGGCTATTGCTACATCCCTGAGGACAACTTTTAAAAAAACTAAATATGTTGGAACCAGGAGTTCTTATATTTGTCATTTTCAAGGGGTAGGCACTGAGATTCCATTCAGATGTCTATTTCACTCCTGCCCTTCCCTCCATTTTCATAAAAAGCTTATTACTGATAATTATTACAGATATTGATTTCCAAACTATCTCCACCTATAATCTCAAATAAGAAAATTCTTCTTTGCTATCCTTTCATCTACATCTATCTTCATCTGTGTTGTTCTGGCTAGTATCCGAGATAAAAGGTGACCAAGTTAATAAAAGGTGACCAAGTTAATAGTATGTTTGCTGTTAAGACTTCAAGGCATGTGCTTTATTTGCTTTCTCTATGCCACTGCTGCCCACGCATATTTTTCCCTATATGTAGATTTCTGAGCCAGCATCTATCACATGGCAGTCTACTATTAGTTTCATCTGCATATATTTTTATAATTATTACATATGTTGTATATTTTTCTTCACGTATCATCACATACATTTTTTCTAACCATAGTTCCCCTTATACACATAACATACAGGAATCTTTAAGCAATTTAAAGATCACTAGGGTCAGAGAGAGAATATACAGATCTCTGACACCATGAATGGTCCCCTGAGCCCTGCTGGGTATGACCCTGAAACAAAACAAACCGTAATCCACAAGTCTAGTTTGGATGTGTCCGTGCCATGATGTTCCACAGCCAGTTATAGTGGAAAATACTGAATGATTCATTATGTCCCTTAAGGAAGAGTTTGTAAGCCTTTAGTATTTGGTTCCATTTCATGGCAGAATATTAGTGTGTTTTCTTTGTTAAAGAAATAAATAGTACATGTAATCGTGATGCAGTAGCAAAATTAGTAGTGGTATAACTCCTAATCACCTGGCATTGCTAAGAGGAGTGTTCTGCAAACTTGTCATTGCTTATGTACAGCAACTGACTTTATGAGCTCATTCAGTCTTTTGCTGAGAAATTGGCAGAGCTGTGTTCTTCTGGGTGGGGCCAGACAAGTAACCTCTGCATAAATACCAAGAAAGGGACATACAGCACCTGTTTAATAAGGTTTAAATGGGGCTCTGGGCCACCTAAGGTCCCTTAGAAAGCAGATTATGAAACCTGCTAGGACCCTAATCCAAGACTTCTTTCAACCCTATCTAGGTGTACCCTTTTAGGTTCTTAAACCCAGGCAGGTACATGAAGATAGGGATGTTAGATAGTGCTGCTCAACAATTAGAGGATTATCAGGGATTATGGGTGTCTGACTACATTTGTCCCTTGAAAACTCAGACTACTGAGTTGAAGAATAATCTTAAAATCCTTCTGTATGAACTGTTACTTTGCGCAACTTGGTATTTAATCAAGGTAAAATGATAGAACATGGAAGCAGCCTATTATATCTTTAGTCTATTTATTAGAATTGCATTAGCATCATGCCAACATTCACCTTTAAATGGCTTATTGGAAATGCATGAAAACTGAAGGACTCTGTTATTACCTCCCCTGTGACTCCCATTTTCTCAAATGTCTGGAGAGCCAGACATCAGCTGAGGTGCACTGTTTGGTGCTAGTGCCTATCTGTGTGGTGGCAGCTGATGGCAGAATTGAAACCTTTCTGTGTCTTCCTACTTAGTGCATGAGCTGCTGCTTCCGAGACATGGCTGTGAAAAAGCAGGACACTCAGCTCAAACAGATGGAGGGCAGGGTCATTTGCAAAATGAAAGCAAGTGCCAGTTGCACTGTGAAATTGGCACCACCGGCCCTGCTGCTGTGATAGACTGGCTTGCACTTAGTCTGCAATCAGTAATTGGGGAATAGATTAGGGTTTGGGGGAGGAGAAGGGCAGTGGGAAGAAGTTCCTTTAATTAATGATGGAAATTCTTTCTGGAAAGCAATATATGAGATAGAATCTTATAAAATGTCATAAAGGATTTTGAATGCAACAGAAACTTGAAAGGCTGAAGCCTATATAAAGTAAGTGTACAGTGCTTCTTCAAGCAGTAAGAAAACATTTTATGTTTGCAATAAAAATTTAGTGCTTTACTGAAAAAGAATTAAATGGAGAAAATGGTGTTGATTTCAGGGTAGATTTTGCTGTGTAAGGGGAGGTATGTTTACCAAGCAGAAGGATTCAATTCAGAGAGAAGCTGAAAGCTAGGAGTTTGGTATTTATTATGTTATTTGTCTGTGTGGCAAAATGTAAGATGATCAAATCCAATATTGTATATTAGATATAATCAATTTATCATTCTCTTTTAAAACTAGAAGGTAAATTTTTATGTTTTTTTTCTTAACATGTGACCTCTTTCTGTTGGTAAGTATTGGTGATATATGAGCATCCTATAATCAAAACAGTGTTCAAACACCTTCCATGACAGAAGAAGGGATGCAAAACCATTTCCCAATTACTATGCCTATTTTTCCTTTCATCTGGGTCATTTTTTTTTCAGTCTACATTTTATTTTATTTTATAATTTATTTATTTATTGAATCACTGTGGGAAAAGTTACAAAGCTTTCAGGTTTAGGTCTCAGTCATGCAAATATCAAACGCATTTCCCTTTACCAATACTTATTTTTTACCATGAATCCCAATAAAACCCCACCTCCCACCCCTCCCAATTCCTGTGAGGCAGATGAGTTCTAGTAAACACTCTATCTACTTTGACTAGACTCATTGTTTCGATAAAAGATGCACCATTATTATTTAGAGTTTACCCCCCCCCCCAATCAGACATACTGAAAAAGTGTTGTGAAATGATTTGCTTTCTACAGCTGGGTTCAAGAATTAAATGTTGTTATCACTATTGCGGCCGCGCGGTTTTGGATTTCTGCTATTTTACTTCTTAACCCTGGAAGTATTTCTGCTAAAAGTCAAATAATTAAGAGATTGGTTTCTGTGCTCTGGAGTCGTGGCCATGCCGGAGAGCTGCTCGTGGGGGGCAACTGGTGACCTTGATAGGGCGTGAAGGACGGGCTGGAACGCCCCCTTTCCCATGAGGTTTTCGTCGCCCCCCAACCCCCGGCTCATACCTGCTGTCCACAAGGCTCCCATGCAGCTGCCATCTTTCTTTCCAGAGAGGAGAGGGCGAATGGAGCAACACCCTTTCCCCTCTGGGCAGGCATGATGGCCTGGATTAATGCATAGTCCGTTAGCTTTTCTGCTCCAAGCTGCTGGTTTTCTGCATTAAGTCCTTGTGCTTCTGGGGCCGTGGCCGTGCCAGAGAGCCGCTTTGGGGGGGCAACTGGTGACCTCGGTAGGGCGTGAAGGACAGGCTGGAACGCCCCCCTTCCCATGAGGTTTTCGTCACCCCCTGACCCCCGGCTCATACCTGCTGTCCACAAGGCTCCTGTGCGGCCGCCATCTTTTCATCTGGGTCATTTTAACTTCTTTTCAGAATGTCCAATTTTTTAAAAAATGTAGGAGTATTGCTATTTATTCAGCCATTGATTAGGCTGATTGAATTGGGCATGAACACCACCTTACTTCCCCCCCCCCCTTTTTTTTTTATAATTTTATTTGTTGAATCACCGTGACAGCAGTTACAAAGCTTTCGGGTTTAAGTCTTGGTCATACAATGAAACACTCGTCCCTTCACCAGTGCCCATAGTATACCCCCCTCCCACACCCTTCCCTTACCTGATGATTTCCACATCACTCTCTCTCTACTTTGATTACATTCAATATTTCGACACCAGACCCACCATTATTATTTGGGATTTCACCCCAACACTCAGATCTGTTGAAAAGGCAACAGGAGATAATTTGTTTTCTATTGCTGGTTATGAATAACATATGATGTCATGTGGCCACAGTAGTGGCCGCGTGATTTTGGAATTCTGAATTTTTAACAATTGAATCTGGAGGGATTTCTGCCAAAACCTGCTGGGTTCCTGCTGCATCTCTGGGATCATGGCCATTAAGTAGCTTGATCAGGAGCCAGAAAGGCAGTTCGTGGGCGATGACTCGGGGTCTCATTGGGGTGGGGAGGAAAGGGCTGGCTCCACCCAATCCTGTGAGGCCCCGCATGTCTCGTCACTGCAGGCCCAAACCTGACTGTTCAATGGCCTCTGGAGGATAATGGCCACCAAGTCACCAAGGGGGAGCAGGCGGAAGGACAGGACCCTTTCCCCCCTGGGGTGGTCCGGCACTGGTAACCCATTGCAGGGACTGGACACATCTCTGCCAAAAGCTGCTAGGTTCTGAGATTTGTTTCTGAGTCTCTGGG